AGTGAAGCTCCCATCCAGAAACTGTCACGTGCTGCTTGCTCTTGTGTGGTGAAACATGACCTGAGCTCACTGTGCTATGTAAAGTTCTCTTTTTGCAAACCACCATCTCCACTCACCAGCTGTCTGCTGTGATCGCCATCACACTCTCCTGTGAGTAATCCAACGTCACCTGGGCACGCTGGCCTTGTGGAAAACAGGCTCACAGTGCATGCAGCCTCGTGATGAGCTCCAACGCCACAACACAACTGTGGTGAGCAAAGCAACACAGGCGCAGAAGGCCCCTCCCTAGGTCAGGTGCCCAGGGTCACCCTTGGCCAGCCCTGAGGCTCCAGTCAGCACCACGGCTGAGGCCAGCGCGGGCCTGAATGGAAGCAGAGGGGAGATGAGGTATGATCAAGAGGCAGCGGCGTTCCACCTCACAGTCATGAGTGTGCAAATGCAGGCACGCTCTACACTCAAGGCATGGACGACAGTCATGAGTGTGCAAATGTAGGCACGCTCTACACTCAAGGCACGGACATGAGTGTGCAAATGCAGACACGCTCTACACTCAAGGCATGGATATGAGTGTGCAAATGCAGACACGCTCTACACTCAAGGCACGGATGACAGTCATGAGTGTGCCAATGCAGGCACGCTCTACACTCAAGGCAGGGATGAGGGAGGCACCTCTACTGACATTACTTTAGCAAAGCAACACCCCAGAAAGGAAGGGTGGCGTCTAAGAGAGGGGCGAATCCAAGGAAAGGTACGGGGGGCAGGCAGCCGTTTCAGATCCAGGTATCCAGGTGAAACGTCCCAATACAACATACCTCCATCCTTCAGCAGTCATTACGCTGAAGGACACGTGGGCTCTGTAATCCTCTTTCTGCCTATTACTCTCCAGACAGATTGCTTAGAACGTGCCAACAAGTGCTCCATCAGGGCGCAAGATGCATGGGACAGGCTGGGAAAGGATGTCCTAGAAAAGGCTATATTCCAACTACACACTCTATACTACCAAGTTCAGCCTAAAATCACGGCTCACGGAGTGAGGGCTCTGTTCAGTGTCAATAGTGTTACAGGAAGCTGGAAGAGATGTATTTCATCACTATTTTATCATTGTGGGGTTCCCCCCCTTTTTGAAAAAGCTCTCCTGAAACTGTAGCTTGTCACCTGTCTGGACTCAACATGACACTTAAGGGAGTCTAAATCATTCAGTTGAGAAAAACAAGCCAGTTGTAAAAGGAAAAAAAAAAAAAAAGATATGCCACAGAATCCCATTGCTAAAAAATACAAAAATGGACAAAACTCCTCTTTACCATTAGACATCAGGACAGCAGATACCTTGGGGAACGCGAGCCCCATCGAGGGGTTGGAGGCTGGTCAGGCTCTGCCTCCTCATCTGGGAGCTGCTTACACAGGAACGTTCTACGTATAAAATTTCATCATGCAATACACGACGCTGCATGCACACAACACATGAACTGTTTTTCTAGGGATGTTACATGTCAGGAAAAGTAACTGGAGAGAAGTGAAGACAGCTCCCCCACTGCCCTAACCCAAAGGGAACAGAGACCCCATCCAGGCACACGTGACCTGGCTGGGTACGGTCATCTATGCCCACCATGCTCCTTAACGGCCTCTCTCTGATGCCTAGAGCCAAAGCACCACCCATCAGTATCTTGCATCTTAATCAGCTGTTTACTTTATTGTATCCCATGTTCTGAAATGATCCTAACAATCCAAAACCAGGACACTCTGGAGTGCTGCTTCACACCAACTCTACCCTCTCCTCCACTCTCTAAGAGCACCTGTAATTTCCTGCACAGAAGGAGAAATGTTTGTCAAAGGACTGAGACAATTTTCACACCAACTTGACTATTTCTGAGTGCCGTGATCCTGTGTAAATATCTTCTCTAAGCTTCAGTTTCCTCATAATATGTCAACCAATGTAAGATGCCAAAAATTAGACAATGCCTTTATATTCCACCAAATACTGTCAATTAAATTATGGCATACCATCAACTATAAGATACACATACTTCCAGATGTGTTAACATGACTTAAAAAAAGAAGCCTTCGAATTGACAAATATTTAACAATGTGTACAACACGTTTGGATATAATTTCTTGCATGTCTTGGAAATACACTCAGTGACCGGTCCAAAGCCAAGGTTACCTGCCAGCATCAGGACTGTGCCAGACGTCCAGGTCCCTGGTTTCCAGAAGCAGAAGAAGCACTTTAAGAAATCAAGTCACCTCTCCCAGAAATGAAGGATGATGGGCACAATCACCTCACAAACGCCATCCCCAAGCTCTGAGAACAGCATTCAGCACTCAGGGCTGTACCTATCAGCAGCCAGCAGCTGAAGACTAAAAAGCACAGCAGAGACACCAGGAATTCCAGCGGTGTCGATCAAAGTTCTTAAGAGTGAAGTATGAACTCATGCCTTATCTCTGAGGAAAACCATACCTCAACCTACACCTGGCGCCCACCACCGAGGCCCATCACAGAGCCGAACTGGATACAGAGCTCGATGTAGCTCAGCCTCTGGAAGTGGGTAAGAACTCTCGCGAGTGTTCTTTCCTTGGAATGGTGGAGAAGCACCATAGACAAGTGAAAACCTCCACTGCAGTGCAAAGCAGTAAACACAACATCAAACTGTTCAAGCCTGCCTATATCCCGAGGCAGGAAACCTGTCCTGGGGCAGGGGGCTGACGGTTTCACAGATGAAAAACAAGCTTATAAAAACCACCAGCAACTGCAGTGGTGGCTGGAGGACACATTCTTACACTGAAAGGGAGGCAGGTAATGAAGGAGCAACACAAGAGCAAAGGGGCGTAAACAGCACCAGCCCCTCAGAACACAGATCCTCGTCTGGGGCATGGAAGCATCTTACGCAATCTCAAAGCTGAGGTTTAATATGATCTCAAAACTGATGTTCAAGAAACTGCAAGTTGCCTTTTAGCTTAACTTTCTATCATGGAAATATTCAAATGCACACAAAAGGAGAGAGTGACAGGTAGCCCTCCATGCATCCACCGCCCAGCTTCAAAGGAATGTTTGGCCATTCTTGTTTCAAGATAAGTTTTTAATTTTTAATCCAAGGAAACTACCTCAAAGTGCTATTGATAAACTACACACAGAAAAACCTAAGGGTAAAGAAACACTCATTCTTACCTAGCATGGCTGAGAGAGGTCTTGGTACATTCCACCAAAGAGCAGGCAGCTCACTAGCACCCAATCAAAACATCAATCAGCCCCAAAAAGACTTCACACAGGTCAGAGAGCGCGAGTCTTGTTGCTAGCATAACGAAATTTCTGCAGCTAATGAAAAATTAATCCTGTACTTATTAGGATCTCAGTAAGATTACCAACACTACATTTAACTTTATTTTACTTAAAATTATACATTTGTAATCCAGTCCTCTACTCAAAAAGAAAAAAAATCAGATGAACGGGTGAGACAGCAAATCACGGCTTTACCCAAGGCGTGCTGCTATCGCTTATGTTTTCCTCAGGTGTTTTACAGGCTAATTTCAAGTGTGTTTAGAGTGGTTTGTTTAGTTCTCCTTAACGTGGAATTCTAATGCTCTCAATGGTAGTCCACAGAATTCCTCCAATGCAGACTCCTGCAAAGCAGGAAACAGCAACAGCCAGGCCTCGTGGGGCCGCTGTGAGGACTGCAGCACTCAGGCCACGCAGCCCACCGCCCACCGCGCCGGGAGCAGTCAGACCCCTCAGGGGTCCTGTAAGAGGAGACACAGCAATGATGGCGAGCTTGAGGTCAAAAAGTTCAGAAACATAAAAATCACATTCCTTGCGTATCTTTCCATTTTTAACACACGCTTCATAAACCACTCTAATTTACTTCCCTCTACAAAACACGACTCTATCTAAATTAATTTTTATTTCTTGAGGACGGCCACCAGCTTACTTAGCAATATTCCCATGTTAAGGCAGAGGAAAATCCATAGACCCTTAATGACTCTAGAATAGGGTTCTCTCTAGACTCACTTTACATGATCACTATGTTTCCAACAAAGTAATGTACTAAGACGTCGCAAGAAAGCAGTGGTATCCCCAGCAGCCAATCAGTCACTGCACGCCAGCCTGCAGCTCAGAGAACGGTGCAGGACTACGGAGTAGCAGCCCTGGCTCTGCCCCAACACTCTCCAGGCAGCCCTGCTTTAAGGGCTTGAATCTCTCATTTTCAGCTTCACTATTACATTCCGTGGGTCTTCCTCACAGTCTGTATCCTGAGCATTTATAAAAGAGTATTTTTTCACTCTCCACAACAACTGTTCAATCATCTAAGTTTCTTTCTCTGCATCCCAATCAGCCATTCTAAGGGATTCCCTCCTCTGTAAACTAAATCCTGCCTCAGTAAAGCACACTAAGCCATGCTTCCATGAAGAGAAAAAAAAAAAGTCAGATTCTTTAGTTTTAACCATTTCTTCTTTACAGAGCTGAGTATTTCTACATATATATATTTCTTATTCTCATATTTCTGTACATGTGCATAGCTGATAATGCCATGCAAGTGACAAGGGATGTATTTTAAAGCACGCATCACTCCAGATAGCGAGCCATGAGTCTTACAATACAACCTAAAAACAAACGCGTTTCTCAAAAGCACTCATTAGGCCTAACATCTGGATAATCTGGTAACGAGCAAATGTCAAACCCGGTTACAGGAGCAGCGGAGGCAAAGTCCAGCTAACTTCGCCCTGTTTAACACCATTAATGGAGGCTTATGTATCTTTCCAGATATATCCACACACACTCATATCCTTCCCAAACAGATTTAAGTAACAAAATCTCTCAAACTTACCAAACTCCGATACTGGCCCTGGAGCAGTTTGGAAGTCCGAGCGTGCAAAGACTGTGATCCAAGGGAGTCAAAAGACTTTCTGCGGTGAGACGAGGGCCGGGCACACACGGAGTCACTCCCCAGCCCGATGTCTGCAAAGGGCATGCACACAGAAAAAGAGAGCTGAGAGCGCCTGATACCACGCACCCACACTGCACACTAGACTCTAAAACTAGGGCAGCATAGAGGGACACACCAAAAGACCACAACAAAGCAGTCCATTTATGCAGAAAACAAAGAACAAATTCTTGGCTACATAAATGACTTGCATTCATTCCCCAACTACCTTTCCAGAAATTATCTGGAGATAACTATTAATCAGTTCTTCTCTAGCAAAATTTCCAAAAGTTTGTGAAATGTATTATAACTTAAGATTTTCCCTTCACCTGGAAAAAAAAAAAAAAGGCCTCTCAAATTCGATTATGGAGCAGAGAACAACCAAGTACTGATTCTCCAACGCACCACCACCACGTGCCCACTTTTCCGGGACGATGTGTCATGCAATAAGCAACAGAAGGAAAAGACTCTTATTTGAAAGAGAAAATCCCGCTGTATTTTTCAGCCAGAGAGAACCTTCTGAGGATTATTTCCCTAACACTAAGGCAGCACAGGCTCTACTCACCTCATGAAGTTGTTGACAGAATCAAACTAAACAGACATTAAGAGGCTTAGTTCTATTCTCTGGATCCCCCTTCATAAGACACTCCACACAGGCCAACCAACAAATAATAGCAACTTATTCTTAAAAGTGACTCAATTAAAAAAAGAGAGAGAGAGAACAAGGCTGTGAAAAAGTTTGCTGGGAAAATTGCTGTTCTGAGAGGCACGTGCCAGCCGTGTCCTAAATTCCAGGGAGCCTTCCATGAAAACAACCCTAAGTCTCCAGGTCCCAGCTTCCTCGCGAGTGTTTGGATTGGCTTACACAGTATCTGATAAAATTCTGAATTAAACTGTCAACATCTAAAAGTCTGAAGGTATTAGCAAAAACCCAGATTCCCCACTGCCCTTGACACATTTAGGATGTGGCCACACCAGGTCTATATCCCCTCAGGTAAAGCTGGCTCAGAGCC